CGCCATGCCTGGCTAATTTTTTAAAATTTTTTGTAGAGACAGGGTCTTGCTATGTTTCCCAGGCTTGTCTTGAACTCCTGAGCTCCAGCAGTCCTCCCACCTCAGTCTCCCAAAGCCTTGGTATTATAGGCATGAGCCATTGCATGTGGCCTTCTGAGTGTTAGTGTACTGAATGCTGAAGACATGGCTGAGAAGTAGGAATTACTGTCCTTATTTTATGGAGGAAGAACTTAGGGTTCAAGGAGGCAAAATTTCTTGCTCATAGTCACCCAGCTAGGAAGTTGCAAAGCCGGAATTTGAACTTGGATCTGTCTGAGATCTGAGCTAAGTAAGAGAAGTTAGGAGCAGTGGGCATGATTAGGTCATGCAGGATTGTGGGTGCAAAATTTGGAGGTGCTCAGACTCTACCAGGGACATTGGGGAGCCATTGCAGGTTCTAGGCAGAGGGAGGGACAGGGTCAGATTTGGCTTTAGAAAGATCCCTTGGCCTTACCGGGCACGGTGACTCATGCCTATAATCCCAGCACTTTGGGAGGCCGAGGTGGGCGGATCATGAGGTCAGGAGTTCGAGACCATCCTGGCTAACACGGTGAAACCCCGTCTCTACTAAAAATACAAAAAATTAGCCGGGTGTGGTGGTGGACAACTGTAGTCCTAGCTACTCGGGAGGCTGAGGCAGGAGAATGGCGTGAACCTGGGAGGTGGAGTTTGCAGTGAGCTGAGATTGCACCACTGCACTCCCGCCTGGGCGACAGAGCGAGACTCTGTCTCAAAAAAAAAAAAAAAGAAAGATCCCTCGGCCTCCAGGCCGGGCGCAGTGGCTCACGCCTATAATCCCAGCACTTTGGGAGGCCGAGGCAGGAGTATCACCTGAGGTCAGGAGAGGCAGGAGTATCACCTGAGGTCAGGAGTTCAAGACCAGCTTGGCCAACATGGCGAAACCCCATATCTACTAAGAACACCAAAATTAGCTGGGCGTGGGGGCATGCCTGTAATCTCAGCTACTCAGGAAGCTTAGGGAGGAAGAATTGCTTGGAACCCAGGAAGCGGAGGTTGCAGTGAGCAGAGATCATGCCATTGCACTCCAGCCTCCAGCCTGGGTGACAAGAGCGAGACTCCATCTCAAAAAAGAAAAAAAAGAAAGAAAGATCCCATGACCAGGACAATGCATGAAGAGTGACAGAGGAAAAGAAGCAGGTATGTGAGATAGCAGAGAGGTGAAGAAAGTGGACAGAAAGGGGAGATGAGGCCAAAAGTCACATAAGAAGGGCCAGGAAATAGCCACTGGATCTACCGGCAAGAAGGCTGATAGTCAGGAAGATCGTTTGAGACCAGCCCAGGCAACATAGTAGGACCCCATCTCTACAAAAAAAAAAAAAAAAATAGACACTGGATCTACCAGCAAGAAGGCTGATAGTCGGGAGGATCGTTTGAGACCAGCCCAGGCAACATAGTAGGACCCCATCTCTACAAAAAAAATAAAATAAAAATAGCTGGG